CCTCCCCCCCATCTCCCCTCTTCAGAAACCTTCCCCTCCTCCCCCAGCCATCTCCCCTCTTCAGAAACCATCACATGACATGGCCCACGCAGCAACTGGCCAGCAGTCAGAGTGTGGCCTCTCTGGGTCACAGCTCCTTTGTTTCTAGGCCGTGCTTCTTTCCTGTTTCTTTCTGCTGTGGTTGTCTGACTGACAAAGCGCTTGCTTTTCTGTGTGTGCCTGTACTTTCTTGTCTCCATTTTTCTGCCCAGCCCATGCCCTTTGCCCAAAATGTATGTGTCTTCTCTCCTTGAGGCAGACACACAGCCTACCCAGTCTCAAGCCCCAGCCCCGTGCCATCTAACCACGTCCCCCATGCCAAAATCTCTCCCTCACAGTGGTGCCTGCCACTTCCTGCCATTGCCCCTCAAAGTCATGCTGCCTTAAGTGACTGTTGTTTGACCTTCAGTATAAGATTCTGCTGGTTGCTGGGCGCACCTGTTCCCATCACGCATTCTGGAACTGGAGAAGTCACCACAGGACAGGGTTAGGGGACCCAGTGGACCCATCATGAGACAGACTGACCTAAAACTCCACCAATCACCTGACTTCCGTGACCCACTCTGACTGGTGGACCCAGTGACATTTTGGGTCTCCTACAATCAGTGGCAATTCAGATCCAGTGTCTAGGAATCCCAGAAAAGTCTGATTGTTTCCTTTCCCCCAGTGCACAGCCCCACTGGTAAAAGGCCGTAGGTCCCTTTGAGGGAGGCTGGGAGGAGGTACATGGACAGTGTACATTTTCAGCAGATTAGAAGGGACTACTCCATTCAGGGGGTTCTGGGCCTCTAAACGGTGGAGCCTGGGAATGGATCTTTCCCTATCATGACTTGTAATAGCTTTTTGTTTGTCTGCAGATATCATCATGAGACCCAGGCGTGCCAATGGATGGTTTTACCACAGGTCCAATAACTATGGAAACTTCCGGAAGCTGAGGAACTGGCCTCTGGTAAGAACTTGGTTTCCTGCTGGTCTGGCTTCTCTAGAGTGAAGGACCAGCCTGAGCTTTCACTTGGTCCAGGAGCAAAGGTCTTTCCCCAGAATTCAGGAAAAGCTGCCTCTTTGGAGAAGTGGAGAGGAGGGGAAGGTTGTGTGTTCACCTCTCACCATGTTCCAGCTAGTGAGCATGGGTGAAGCGGGTGGTGTGTGCCCAGTCCCCAGAGAGCTATAGGGCACAGAGGAAGGATGAGAATGGCCCCTGCCCTCCACATGCTCACTGTCGTTAGAGAAGACAGAAACACATAGATCAAGGGAGGATGAGAAGATGAGCAGAAAGAATGACCAAGTTTCTGTACAAGACATGTCAGAAAGAGAGGGGTGTGTAGCCAGGCCTGGAGCAGGCGCCGTGGAGACACCGACACCAGGAGGGAACTGTCCCAGAGCCTGGAAGGAAGGTCCGCAGCTCCACACAGCGCACAGCTATAGCGATTTTACTTCCCTGAGGCGTAGTCTACGACAGTGATCTCCAGCTGGTGTTCTGTGGCACACTGGGGTGCTCTGAAAAAAAAATTTTTTTTTGCAGTTTTTGGCCAGGGCTGGGTTTGAACCTACCACCTTCTGCATATGGGGCCGGCACCCTACTCCTATGAGCCACAGGCACTGCCACCAGCTCTGAAAATTTTAAAGATTACTTATTCAATTATTTTCAAAAGAAGTTCAAAGCACAAAAAGCATATATATATATATTTTTTTTTACTCTTTTTTTGATCAATGTAATTTAAGTGTGCTGTGGAAGTTTATAGGTTCAGGTGTGCCGTGAGATAAGACACTGGTCTATGAGATGACCAAACAGGCAGCGCTGGGAAGTGCCCTCAGCAGAGTCGGTGCAGTGGTGTCTCTGAAGAGGGAAACAGCACAAGTGTGTAACTGAAGGCACCGATGGGGAGCCCTGTGAGCACCCAGGGGAATCTGGGCCCAGCGGGCTGCAGAATCCGTGTCTATAACCGATAGTGAAAAAGAAAAAACAGAAAGCAGAGATGGAGCCACCACCACCTGACAGCTGCAAAATACAAAACGCGAATGCAGAATGAAAAGGGCTCTGTGGCCTTTGAAAGTCCACGGTCAGGTAAGGCTTGTGACATTTAAACAGACAATGTCAAGGTGGTTGTGATCAGAAATGACTACAGCCAGAGTGGCCCGCAGAACTGCAGAAGTCATCACAGGACAGGGTTAGGGGACGAAGTGAAGTCTGAGCTGAGTCTTGAACAGCTGTGTGAGAAGGGGATAGAGAGACAGAGAGACTCCCCTGTGGGAGGAAAGAGAGCTCACGCAGACCACGGGCCTGCTGCTCAGTCCCCAGTGATAACCTGATGAAACCTGGAGAGACGTTTGTGCTGCCCATCTCCAGAGACGCCAGTGCCGGTTCTGTGTCATCTGTGGAATCTGAGGACACTGACCTGAGTGTAAAGCTCACTGCAGCCTGCTGCGCATGGCTGTGCCTCCCTTTACCTGTCCCCAGGCCGTAACATGGGATGACGCTTTTTATCTCATGGGTGGCAGGGGATTCATTAGAACAACATGCACAGAGCCCATGACACAAGGCAGAGGCTCAATTCAGGTTCTTAAAGAAAGAACAGCCCCCGAGATTGACTCTGGCCTTAGCAGGGTTACCAATGCCAAGACCAGTTAGCTGAGAAAGCGCCTAAGGGGCCTGGAATCGGCCCCAGCCGCCTCTGGCTGGCCCATTCCTCACCAGCGCTGCCAGCCAACCGCAGCTCCCCAGACACCTCGCGCTGGAGGAGGGAATGGTGAGATGCACATGTGATCTGGTCACAGCTGGAAGAGGCAGAAGTCTCCCAGCTGGGTGAATGAGGACCAGTAATCAATCACTTCAAGACGCCACACCTGCTTCCCCTTCTGTGACGGGACTCATCTGTGGCTGGTACACAGTTGGTGCTCAAAAAGGGCTGAGTGGTGATCTGGCATGCCTGCCTTACCTATTTGAGAATCAAGTAGAATTACAGGTAGAAGACCATTTTGGTGTGGTAGCATGGTTTGCAAGTGTGAGGACAAAATTGTTATTAAACAGCAGTTACATCTAATCTCAGGTAAAATAGCAAAAGGAATACTGGGAGCAGGCAAGGCCTGAGCAGCCACGGCCCACACTGTGCTTTTATTAAGTTAATTCAGCTTCTTGTCATGAGGACAGAAACTATAACACAACCGAAGGAAAAGTAAAAGGTAAAATGTGTACACACACACGTACACATAAATGTTTGCCTTGTTCAATTGAACAATAGGTTTCTGGTTGTAGAACAAGAATTAATCATGGTATGTGTTCCACATAATCCTTAAAACTGTGGATGATTACCATTTATTAATCTATGAGAAAAATGCAGATTTCACTCCTTGGATATGAAAGAAGTCAGCACCCTGGCTGAGGAAGAGAGAAGAATTTGGGATCAGTGTAAAGAACAGATCTGGATTTAGAGCTGAACTTGTTAGAAGTTGCAGCTGGGCAGATAGTTACATATCGGCATCTAGTGCAACTTAACCCACGGGAAGAAACCCCAGTTCAACCAGAGCTGATGGTGTGGCTACTGCCGGAAAGGGGGCGAACAGGTGCCTTCATCTTCAATTGGCAAGTGAATTCCCGGGATCCAGGAATCCAAAACCATCATATCAAGGAGCCTCTTTCCTTCTCTCACCTCAGATTTTTAGGCAATTCCTCCTATACTAATTTGGTAGCAATTATTTTTTTGGTAAAAATAAGTTATAGACCACCATTTCCAATATACAGTGTGTTGTTCCTGAGTGACAGGAATAACGTAAATAATAACGTAAAATAAAAGAGACAGAGGCTTGGGAATTAGGCAGGTGTGGGCTCTGTTCCCTGTCTCCTCACCCTTTCCTCATGCTCCATCTTCCCATCTGTCAAGTAAAAATGGGCCCTACTTCCTAAGACTGTTGTTAGGATTAGATGTGACAGCATTTGTGAGGTGCCCAGGTGTTCCGGGAGGAGCCCCTCATTATCTGTTCTCTGGTGCACCTGTGTTCTCATTCTAACACCCCCGAATCAGGCATGTGCTACCAGCAACAGTCTGTCATGGACCCCCTGGTAGTGATTTTTTTTCTTTATTTCTTTTTTTTTTTAATTTTTTATTAGATCATAATTGTGTATATTAATTCTATCATAGGATACAGTGTGTTGCTTCCATATGCAGTTTGGGAAACTCTCATCCAACTGGCTAACATAGCCATCATGTCTTTCTCATAATTGTTGTGTTAAGACATTTATATTCAACCTTTACACAAATTCACATGTACCCTAATAGGATAAATTATAGGCATGATCCCCATTTTCTTTATTTCTTAATAGGATGGAAAATAAGAGCACGTTTTACGATCAGTGGTCTCTTAGATTTGTTGAAATGCAGTATTTTATAATACAATACAGTTAGTGCTTATAAAAACTCCCAAATATCAGTCATTATTTTTTCCATTTTACAGATGAGGAAACTGAGCCTCAGAGAGGTGAAGTGACTTGTCAAAGTCATATACACTAACAAGGGGCAAGGCCAGGACCCCAGACACCTCCTCTGACCCTAAATCTCCTGCCCTGGCTTTGAGCTTCCTCTTTGTCTGAGAACTGAGGCTGTGGCAGTTGTTTCTCCCGAGTCTTCCTGGGGGCTGGATCACAATGTCCGGAGGAGGCCAGGCTGTGCATGTCCTTCCCACTTGGCACACTAAGGTTCTGTGGAGAAGGCTGTACTTTTAAGCCTCAAGGCATCATTAATGGGGCCTTCCCTTGCATGTAGCTGGAGTGTCAGTCCTATGAAAATGGATCCTACCTGGCATCTGTCCTGAATTTAAAGGGAGTGAGCATCATAGCAGAGTGCTTAAGTGGCTATTAAAGAAACCAGCCTGTAGGGATTGGCTTGTGTGACCCACAGAAGGTAACCTCAGAATCCCCACAAATGCCATCTGGGAAAGCAAGATGGATAGCCCCTTTCTGGGAAACGGGCTCCTGGCCTGCTAACAAGGGTGCAGATGATGGGTCGTCCCTCATGAGCTTCAACTGATAGGAGACCAAGGTCTCAAGGTCGAGGACCCAGGTCTTGCTCTCAGTGGAGGATAGGATTAAAATGGAACTATTTTATAAACCTTCTGTCTAATTAAGGTCCTCCTGAATCTTAGAACACAAAATTACCAGCATCGCAGAGCCTTCAAAGAAAAAAGTTTGTATAAATATACATTTTTTGTGTGTGTGTGTGTGTGCTTGTACACACAGAAGAACTTCTGTAAGTTGACCGCCCAAGGGACTGTAACAAACTGGTGGTCAACAGTTGACCATATGGAGGTGGTCAACAAAAGGAACGTCCACTGAGTGCATGTCCAGTCTATGAAAACTAGGTCAATTTAAGGAGGTGGTCAGTGTAGGGAGATGGTCAACTCTGGAGGGTCTACTGTATATCTCTATATACACACAGATCTGTTATGAGACTGAGATTAATTAAATTCTCCTTTGACTTGAGTTACAGTTGAAAACATTCAGGTAACATTTTTCTTGGATGTTGTTATCCTTTTTATGTTACCCTTGGTTTTTTTCGCTAGACTCTCACTGTTCTTTCACCAATACCTTAGCATAAGGAATGGCATGTGGGATCTCCGTAAGGAGTGGCTGAGTGCTGAGGTCTAGATGTGGGGTTTAGGGTTGACTGATTCTTTGCTGGGCTTCTAGAACCCTCCCCCCTGCTTTCTCTTTCTTGACAAAACTCCTAAAGATAGCACACTCCCCTTCATGAATGACAGTTTATCCTTCAGTATTCATCTAATAGTTGTGTTTTTTCTCTTCTTGAACACTGTTATAGAAAACTAGCAATCACCTGTCATAGTTCTTACAAATATTTTATGCAATTCTGTACCTTTCAATGGTGTTTATTTGACTTTCAGAAATCTTATATTTTTCTATTTTCGTGTTTCTATGAATCAGAACTCTGTCATTCAGAGATAGGGTGATTATTTACATCTACTTCTGCAAGATTTTTTTTTGTAGTTTAATCTTTTATATTTATGATGGAAGAAAATAAGTGACAAACATTCTAAAATTTGTGCCATGTTTCTAGTAATCAAAGAAATGCAAACAAAACAACAATAGAATTTGACTTTTCAGATCATCAACTTTTGCTTTGTCTTAATGAGTGATATTTTTAAGGATATGGAGAAATGGTCCTTGTGCCCATTGGTGAGGGTCTGAGTCCCTACAATGGAACTATTTTTGGAAAGCACTTTGGCAATGAGTATCAATAACCTCAAAATATACTCTTTGATCCATTAATTCTACTTCTGGGATTCTATCCCAAGGAAATAATTTTTAAAACAGCTTTATGAACAAAGTTGTTCACAGTGGCATTCTTTATAATAATGATAACATACCTATCAATCACTAGAAGACTATTAAGGTAAATTACAGTACCTCCTTACCATTAAAAAATGTTCAGAAAGCAAGAAACAAAATTGAGTATATATTTTAAAGATTGTATTTTTAGTGCATCAAAATGTAATGATACATGAAAGTGTTTATGCCAAAAGTGAATATGCCAATGTTTTCCTCTGAGTGGTTGAATGGAGTGACTTTTCTGTTTTTCCTTCCTTTGCATTTCTGTACTTTCCTAATTTTTACAATGAAAACTAAGTTTTAAAGGGGACTAGGGAGACCACACTGGCTGTGAGCACGGGGGGGTGTCAACCTGCGCACTTCTTCCACCTCCGGTCGTTGCAGAGGCAGCCGTGGCAGTGGATCAACAGAGCCGCCTATCTGGACAGAGCCTGGGCGGGCAAGCTGGACTGTGGGGGCAAGCACCGTACAGAGCTGAGCTCCAGCAACAGTAAGTTCTAGCACGTCACCCCCACCACCTCCCAGTTTGCAGTAGGAGCAAAAATGGATGTGGGGCCTTCCCTTCCCAACCTCCCCACTTCACACGGGGCAACTCTTTTCTCCCCCAGGACGATAGCCTTGCTGCAGACATTAGTTACCAACCTTCAGTCCTTTGTGACCACTTCACAATCTTTGCCATAGAGGTCCAGTTATTTACTCAATATTTTCTTTAAATGCACACATTTTTTTCTTAAATATATTTATTTTAAGATCACATTGTAGACCAGGAGAGGGACATTCATCGCCATTTTGGGAAACACACACTATAGGAAGCAAATACACGTAGTGAAATCAAGTGGATTCCTCTTAACTTCTTTAAAATTGGGGTTCCCCAGGAGCCCTGGAGAACTGGTCTTTGCCTGGATTCTTCCCTCATGTTAGTTTCCCTGATTCTTCTTCCCAGGATGAGTGGCCAGAGCGCCCTCTGCAGTGCACACCGCTGCGTGAGCCTTTTCCTTCCCTTGCCTGCCTTCATTTGCTGCTCTCCACACTAAGTTTGGAACTAATGACACCTTGCGCTGGATGATTCTCTGTTGTGAGGGTCTGTCTTGTACCCTGTAGGAGACTTAGCGCCATCCCCTGTCTCCGCTCAGTAGATGCCACAGCCTTCCTGGGTGGTGACAGCTGAACATGTCTGCAGATACTGCCAAATGTTCCCTGTGGGGGGGCAAATTCACCCCCTGTCAAGAACCATAGCTAATAAGGAATATGGAAGATTTCAGACGTAAAACAAAAATGCAGAATTTTAAAATTGAAAAAGATACTTGATGTTGAAGGTCATGTATTTGAGAACATCTGTGAGGGTATAACAGGCCATCCTGGTGCCCTGGTAACAAGGCCCTAGTAGCTACAAAGTGGGCCTGGGACAGGGCCCAGCCCGAGGACCTGGATACTGGGGCTGCTCCCACAGGACGTGGAGTGGTGTTTACTGTTGTCTGAGGAATAAAGCTAATGAGAACAAACCAGAGAGCAAGAAAACTTTCTGACAGCAAGTGGTGAAGGGTGGATGGGAGGACACAGACTCCAGGGAAGATCTACAGAGATTAAAAGCCAGGGGAGGGATTTTCACAGCCCAGCAGAGACCACAGTTGTTGCTGTTTAAGGCATCAGTTCCAATAGAAGGAACACAATAAACTGGTCAGTAGAAGCTCCCAATGTGGATGTCTACCCAAATTAAGGAAAAATCGGAACAGTTAGTATTGTTCAAACACAGAGTGGGCTACCCCAGAGAGTAGTGAGAAACCCATCACTAGAGTTAACCAAGAAAAAGGTGGACATTGTAATTTTTAAATGCAGTTGAAGCACTGAAATGTTAGAAGAGAGGCTTGATGGTGCAGCAGAATCAGATGAGGAACAGCTCAAAAATAAAAGTTCCAGAGATTCTCTTTTCAGATCTACACTGTCAGAATCTCCGCAGCTGGACGCCAGAATGGCTTTTGGGAAACAGTAGACCAGTTGCCTCCCCAAGTCCCCCGGTCCCTAGGACTCTGAGATTCCTAGTGGAAGGTTCTCGAGCAAAGTCTTTTTCCTGTTAGCCCATGACCACATCAGCCAAGGGTGCCGTGTTATATGCACAAGAAGCAGAAGCCTGACGCTGACTCCCGACCTTGTGTCTTTGGGTTCCTTTCCTTTCCTGCGGTTACTTGACCCAGCTCTTTGTAATCAGAACACAGACTCCTAAGACAAAAGAACACAGGGAATGAAGCAAGGATTCAAGAACAACTGGTGGAAGATAGAATTTAAATGCACATCTCCCTCATCAATGTCCCATCAATGTCATTTTATTCTCGTATAATAGATTTTGCCCCCAGATTTAATTTCTAACTTTTTATTTAAATCAAAATAATATTAATGTCCCAATACATAGCCACACATGCATTCTCCTTCTGTCTGAGACGGGGACTTTTTTTTGTCTATATTTAGAACTAACTGCAGGGCACTTTCTTTTTTTTTTTTGGAGACACAGCCTTACTTTGTCCCCCTTGGTAGAGTGCTGTGATGTCACAGCTCACAGCAACCTCCAACTCCTGGGCTTAGGCAATTCTCTTGCCTCAGACTCCGAGTAGCTGGGACTATAGGTGCCCACCACAACCTGGCTATTTTTTTTGTTGCAGTCTGGCTGGGGCTGGGTTTGAACCTGCCACCCTCGGTATATGGGGCCAGTGCCCTACCCACTGAGCCACAGGCGCCACCATGCAGCACCCTTCTGTGTCCTGCCCTCACCCTTGCTGACCCCCCTTGTAACTGTTTTGTGTCTCTGGAAATCTGCAACTGACAGAATTTTCTAAATTACCTACTGGTTCACTTTGAGACATTTCATAATGATAACTGGAGTTTGTCAGTTAAAAATAATTCACATTCAGCAGAGTTTGTGCTGCATTCTGAATGCCCAGGGTAGAATTTTGGCTCCTCCACTTAACTGCGCTGTATTTTCCTATGGGCAGATTCCTTATCTCCTACAAGGGTTACGTAATGGTACTGATCATCTTAACATGTGTGAAGTGCTTATCACCTGAGGAACTAGTTCATGTGGTTGTTGAAGTTAGCAAGTCTGAAATCCACAGCTCAGGCCAGCAGGCTGAATTTTCCCTGTGAGCTCATGTTTCAGTCTTTTTTTTTTTTTTTTTGAGACAGAGTCTCAGTATGTCATCCTGGTTAGAGTGCTGTAGTGTCACAGCTCACAGCAACCTCAAACTCTTAAGCTCAAGCAATCCTCTTGCCTCAGTCTCCTGAGTAGCTGGGACTACAAGCACCCACCACCACATCCAGCTAGTTTTTCTATTTTTAGTAGAGATGGGGGTCTTGCTCTGGCTGAGGCTAGTCTTGAACTCCTGAGCTCAAGCAATACACCCATCTTGGCTTCCCAAAATGTTAGGATTACAGGTGTGAGCCAGTGATGTTGCAGTCTTGAGCAAAGGCAATTTGGAGGCAGAATTCCTTCCTTCTGGGCCTTTAACTGATCAGATGAGGCCCACACATGCAATGGAGGGCAATATGCTTTCCTCGAAGCCCACTGATGCAAACGCTAACCTCCTCTAAAAATACCTTCAACATTTATGCTGGTGTTTGACCAAACAACTCGCACCACTGTCTAGGCGATTTGACAAATAAAAACATGACCTTAGCCATAACTCCAAACAAAACACCGAGGTAACGCTGGTCAGCTCAGCTCCGCACCAGAATGTAAATGTCTGTCAATTCCCTTACAGACTTTTTAACCTGGAATGACCGCGAATGCAGCCGGCGCCAGCACTTCCTGTGGAGACATAGGCCATAGAGTGTGGATCAGGACAGGCACCTTCTTGCACGATCCCCTTGCTTTCCCTCCTCCGCCACACTGGCTGAGTTTGACCATTATCTCAGAGAGGAAACCAAGCAGCTGAGAGCCACAGGCCTCGATTGCACTGACTGTTTTTAGGCTCAGAGACAGAGATGTTAGCTTTGGTACAACAGTGGCTTCTAGCTCTGATGTTCACCCCACAATCCCTGTCTGCAGTGCTCTCCCGTCCTGGTCCCCTCTCTCCAGCTGTCTTGAGCAGACTAGGAGAGTGAGACACCCCCCAACCCAGGAAAGCTCAGACAGTGCCTGAGGACGAGAGGAAGAGGAGCCTCCTCCCCCATTAGCTTCCGCTCTCTTCTACCCTTCACAGCCCAGAGCTTCCCCTCAGCCACCTGCTTGTTTTTCCTTTGGCCGAGGGAACATCTGCCAGTAGAGCCCCCACTAGGCTGATGTGGACCATAAATTCTCTTAATAAACAGCTGGATACATAGGAGCTCACTGTGTTCCAGTCAATAGTGGCAAAAGGGGAGAAATGAGACTCAGAAATACACCCAAGTGTTTCTTTGTTCCCTTCCTCCCGTCTCTGCCTCCCTCTCCCCAGCAGTGGTCCTGCTTTGAGCAGAGGAGGGACACAGGTGACAGCGTCCCTCAGCTGCCACCCTCTGAGCAGGAATGAGTGAGCTGGTGTTATCTACTTCTGAGTGTTTCTCAGCTTACAAGAAGAGGTGACAGTCACAGCGGGGGCAGTGGGGTCAAACTGATGGGACCTGGGCGCAGGTTTTCCTGGCCCCCACACACCCCACCACCTGTGTGGCCTCGTGCAATTCTCTTTTCCCTGTGAGGCTGGGGCTTCCTTGTGAGTGGGTGCACCAGTTATGGGAAGGTAATTTTGCCTCCAAAGACGTAGGACCACGTGGGCCATGAATTTGCACATAAGAAGAAACAACATGACCTTGATGATTCTGGAAAGCCTGGCTTTGGCGTGACCACATTCACCTTCCTCAGAGGCCAGGCCCCCAGCAAGGGGGAGGCACAGGGGCAGCCTGTAGTTCAGGCAGTGTGGACGGCCACTCGCTTCATCCACATTGCACTGCCAGCTGGTAAACACGGAGAACGCCCACCTGGGACCTGAGCAGGCTGTGAGCAGCTCCTGGGTGCTGGCTGGAAGAAGGGGCAAGGAAGAAAGGGGCCGTGGGAGGGGTGGACCCTGGCCCTCTCCATCCCCTCCTCGCGCTCTCTTGTCTTTTGTCTTCCTTTGCTGCTCTCAAACATTCAAAAGGCTCGTGAACCCCAAAGATAAATCTCTTACTAATGAGCTTTCAGACAAGGCGACAGGAAAATGGTCATTCTTTCAAAGCACATAGTTAGCCTCCGCAAACTAGCAGCTGCCAGCTCCTGAGGGAGCTCTGGGCAAGTTACTCTTAGGAAAACAGAGCAAAGTCTCAGATTCCATGAGAGAGATGATAGGTAAATTGGGAATACCAGACTGATGGGGCCACGCAGAACCCTGTTGGAATAAGTGCCAGATCCTGCAGTATTATCCTGGGAACTAAAAGAAGGAAAAGAAAACATGGATGAGAAAATCGCAGAAAGGGGAAAGTTCACACCCTTTTTCCATCTATGGCACACGTGAGAGATAAAAGTCACCATGACACACCTTCTTCTCCTAATTCATTTACAGTTTTAAGAGGAAAAATACCTTACGATTGCAAATTAGTGGAGATGAACAAAATAAGAATTGAAAAAGTTACTTAGATAGCAGATCGACCAAAAAAGTAAAATCTAACAGTCATTCCATAAATGTATTTAAAATATATCGTATCATAATTCCAATTGAAAAGCATCACCAACTTAAGACAGTCTTGGTGAGGTTATAATAACAAAGCACCCTCCCTGAGATCACAAGTGCATGTGAGAGCTGCGTAACTCTACCAAGCACAGACAAGCAGCCATTCATCTTATTAGAAGCCTGGGTTAACTCTAGAAGTGTGTAGACTTTCACTTATGCTTATGAAGTTTTAGTAATCCTCAGTCGTCCACTGAGGAGGCATATCATTCAACAAATCTTTACTGAGTACATGCTGTGTACCATGAACTCATTTTAGGGGCTGGGAATCCAACTGTGAAGAGAACAGGTAAAATTCCTTGCCATCCTAGAGCCTGCCTTTCAGCAGGGCTGGGGAGTGGAGGTGAACAAACAATAAACTAAATAGGGATAGAATGTCGTACGGGAGGGTAAGTGCCGTGGTGAAAATATACAGCCAGGAAGGGACCCGGTGGCGGGGGCGGCGCACCTGCTGGGTATGTATGGAAAAGCTCATGTGCTCTCTTTGGGTGACAACTTACAGCCAGTCTTTCTCAAGCTAAAAAGAGAATTTATCGGTTTATGTTACACCACAGTTCAGAAGCAGATTTGAGTTCCAGGTATACATTGACCAATCGCCCAACAGAGTTACCAGATAGAATTTTCTTTCTCTATTTCTTGACCATTTTTTGCTGGGAATTGGCTTCATTGCCAGGCCCTATCTATCTACTTTCAATATGGTTGTAGCAGCTCCAGCCCTCACCTCTACCAGGAAAGTCCATAGCCATCAAACAAAAGCATCCTAACCCAATCTTTCTGACCAAGAATGACCTGACATGACTTACGTGTTCATTCTTCAAACAATCCCTGTGACCGGGAGGAGAGGATGTGATTACCAGCCTAGCTAAGTTATATCACATGTACCTCCTCCAGGAGTTTACTCAGCTACACCTCAGAGATAGGGCCACTGCTGGATATGATGCCTTTGTAGAAATCAAAAAAAGGATGCCCCCTTTTCTTAGGGACACAAAGCCTTCTTTCGACTCATAGGGCCACCACAGGCTGGGTCTTAGCCCCGACTTATGCCCTGATCTGTGAATACTCATGCAGTGCACCAACCGCACAGGCCTATTTCTGTGGCCCTGCTGATACATGTGGGCTGAGAGGGGAGTAAGGTGCTTCTCCAGCTGGGAGGCTGGGAGGCCGAGTGCCATCTTTTGGGAAATCTGTCCTGAGGCTCTACTGGAAGACTTTAAAATCAGGAATGTGAACTGAAACTGGAGGAGCACCTGATGTGAGAAAAAGAGAATCCGAGCCTTGTTTCCAAGATGTCCCCACTTATATGACCCCAGCCACTGCCTAAGGTGGTTTCTTGTAGTGGGAAGAGCAAAGGGCTCAGAGCTAAGCCATCCTAGACCTGTCTGACTCTGTCTCAAACTGGATGCACAACATTGAGCCTGGACTGTCTCAAGCTTTTGTTTTCTTTTCCTGGGGATTTGCAGATTACATTAGTTAAGAGATGTGAAGAGTTTGAAATGGGGCTTAGCATGAGTGCTTAACAAATATTGTTCTCACATTTTAAATCGTTCTGATCTCAAGTACATATCTTTCTTCTAAACCACAATTTATCTATAAAACAGAGCCTCAAGCTAAACTCCAGTGCTTACAGGGTCTAGATAGGTCTGAATAAGTGAAGTGGTCCAGTATCCGGGCAATTAGAACAGGGAAGCAAGCATGCAAATTAATTACTTTCAATTATATGTGAGCTAAACAATGCAGAGCTGTTGATCTTGCCCACGGGGGGAGGGCAGATGATCATCCGGGAATGAACAATTCCTTTTCCTTCAACATTACCTTCTCTGATTTGTATTTGTATTATACAGTTCTTTAAGTCAGAGGGCAGTCTCTAAAGTCGCTGGGTACTCACTTTGCAGCATATATTCTAATGTGGGACAGATACAGAGAAGATAAGCGTGGCTCCTATGCAAGAATGATGGGCAAATTTGTGACGCATTCCATTTTTAAAAATAAAGTCACTGAGAACGTTTGCAAAAGTAATAGTGAGCATAAAGTAAAAGATACGCACAATAATGATGGATGGGATGTGTGCACTGCTTGAGAGTAGTCATCCCAGGCTATGTTGCAATGGAGAGATAGGCCGCATAGACATAGAAACAAGTTAGCAAGTGGAAGCTTATCACCAACCGCAAGGCCCTGCCCTGCAGCCTGAGGGCCCTATGAAGATGGCTGCAGAGGAAGTTTTAAGGACAAAAGGAATCTGCAAGTAGAAGCTTGGATTTGGGAGTATTACCTTCAATTTAAAACATTCTAAGGCTCCAGAATACTGTATGATGTCATAGTAAATACTTAGTAAGTAGTAAGTACTAGAGTGATTGTGTCTGATATAATACTATTATTGCTTCAAAAAATTCTAAGGCTAGAATTAAGACAATAAATAGGTCTAGAATCTCATAACCCGGAAAATGTGTTATAGATGATGCACTGATTGTCATTAAAACATTAAATATTTTTCTACATTACTAACTGAAATATAATCATTATAATACCTGTGAATAGATATTGCAGAAGTAAAAGGGAGATCGGCATAGAGAAAAAATGCAGATAAACATCCCAGTAGGAATTGCTCAAAGAAACAAAGGCAGAAATCAGAAAAAAAAAACTCTTTAAACAAATTACAGATAATATGATAACCATTCCAAGCCCCACTTCCAATGAGAGCTTAAAGAACCAAAAATAAGGGGATCTGGCAGAATTCTAGAAGGCAAGAGGAAGAAAGGAATTAGCATTAAATTGGGAGCTGGAGTAGAAATAATAAAAGGGAAAAAACCATTACTAAGAAAATCAGGTAGCACAGTCAATTGGTCTGAGGAAATCACTCAAAGAAAAGGGAAATACCAGCTGCTGTATATTTAAGTGCTGAGTGAGAAGGTGATAGACACGGAAGACATAAAAGAACAAATGTGTGATTTTTGTTCTTGAAGAAAAGAACGGAACACATAGAACAGAAGATAAAATATTTTAAAAATTCTTCTTAACTAAAGATCAAAATTTGTCCATTGAAAAGGCAACATATGCTCCCCCAAATGTTGATTCAAAATGATAAACACCAAGATATATCCTGTCTTTGTTTCTGAACTCTGCAGGTAGAGACTCCAATGGGTACACAGGTAAAAGTAGAGTCAAATATATGGGATTAAATATCACGTCAGTCTCACACGTCTTGTCAGAAATACTCAGTGTCAAAAGATAGTGAAGTAATATTTACAAACTTTGGAAGAAAAGAAGTATGATCAATCATGTAATACTCAACTGAGCATAAAGGCACTTAATATTCAAGCATGAAAAAATTTTGGAAACCCAGCCCCTATGAACTTATCCTGAAACAAATTATTTGACAATGAAATCCAAATAATCAAAAGAGGAAATGAAATAAAGATCTCAGAAATAGAGAAAAGTGATTAAAAATAGCAATAGTAATATATTAATTAAAATTAAGATTAAAACTATTGGTGACTATTGAATCTAATTAATTATAAAACTAAGGCTAAGTAACTATGAGAATTATGTTAATGTGGAATGGAATGCAAATGTTTTAAACCTTAATAATGCAAGAAACATTAATTAATTTTAACAATGCAAAGGGAGAGGAGATACAGTAAGTTATCAATGTATGAATTTCCTTATTCATTAGTAAAGAGGTAATAGATACTCTATAAAGATGAAATACATATTGCTTATAATAAGAATAGTTGGGGCTCTTAATTTTTTTAAATGCTTATTCAGATATTAATATTTTCTGTTCACAAAGAACATTTATCTGAAAACAGGCATTTCTTTTGTTTCACTATAGGTATATATTTTCTTTTTTTTTTTTTCAAACACTAGCACACCCCATTCCCCTTTTTATTGCTTGTTTTGCTTAGTACTTCTTAAAACAAAAGAATCTCGAATTCAACGTTCAACTGCCAAAGGAAGAATAACAGCAGGGCACATACTTAGGGCTGGAATGAAATGGTAAGCACTAGCTGGCGCAAAACAGTAGACATTGATTTTTATATATATATATTTATATATGTATGTATATATGATCTTAACTCTTCTCAACCAGGACCTTTCAAACAAATTGATAACTCACATCAACATGATTTAGATCGAAATACACACAAGAAAAACAATGTGTTCTTTGGGAATTTAGGAACTCAAGACTATCCAAATTTGAATTCAGGTCTTTAAGTGAGAAGCTTGTACTAAGCAACTATGCTACATTTCTGCTGCAGTGATTTATTTTGAATGATTATACCTAGACTATTCTTGGGTTCCTCGAGCAAAATGTATAGGGCACAAACCGGAAAGCATGCCAGCCAGTTAAGGTTTAATAATGCATGACTTTTATACTCTGAGAGCATGTATTAGGAAAAAAAAA